TGAAAAGTAATTTCTGCCATTTTAAATAATTTAAATTATTGTACAGTAACATTGATTGAACACTGCATTCTAAGCGAAGTTGAATTTTTAGTTTGTGTATAGTATTTATATACATCAAATTAGAGTACTCATAAAACCATTATTTCAACCTTGTAATTGTTAAAAATATCAAATATATTACATTAAGTTATACTTAAGATTAACGAGTTCTATAAATATTTTCTAAAATTAACTATTAATAATATAATATATTACATAAATAATTAATTTTATAAAATTATAACTAAAAATAATTTATGGTTAAGAGTCCTAATATTTTTAGATGTTCCAAGAATAAACATTTTTCATTTTTAGTATACACTTGTGTATAGAATCGTATAAAACTTTTAAAATACAGCTCAACTCGTTAGACCATAAATATTCGAATTTTCAAAGGTGTAAAGTTAAAAATTAGATTTAAATATGTAATTACAAAATAATGACTAAAATTTGTTATTAAATATCTTAAATTTAGCTATAGTAATTTTAAAAAATTAAAAAATATATTATCAACTAATTTGCATAAATAATAAATTTTTTTGTACTCTGGAGGTCAAATATATAATTTTAAATATTGTAGAAAAAAAAATACCATAATAATATTTAGTTATAATTTTCATGAATACATTACAATTATTATTATTAATATTATTTATTAATATTTTTATTATTCGCGAATGAAATACTATTTATTAAATTAAAAAAAAAAAAAAGTACTGGAGAAAGATTTCTTATTTAGTACCTATATCAATTATTAATACTATTTTAGCATTGCATTTTTATTAACGTTTGAAAAACAATGTAATTTTGTAAATCTATACGTTTTGTGAAATAAATTATAAAAACCTATGTTTACAAACATTTTTTTTTAAACTATACAATTTTAAATATCATATAGGCTAGAAAATTTAAATGTAAATTTAATTTGTTGATTTTGTATTTTTACAGGAAAGGTAACATAATTCTTTATTTCATTTTCAATACATAATAATAAAATAAAATAATTCGAAATAATTTTAATTTATTATCTGATTGATTCGGTTTTTTTGTAAGTGATTCTTATCACCCAAGAAAAAAATAATTATTTTTATTATATAATATAAACATTTTAATTGATTAATATATTCAAACTTTTTATAGTTAGATTAAACATAATTTATAATTAAATTAAAAAAAAAAAAAATTAATTTAAAAATAAAAACTGAAGTATTGTACATAATACTTAAAATATATTTTGATTTACTATTTTAATTATTCTTTTGTGTACATTTATATATTTATGGTTTACTTTATTACATCCAGTGACGCCCATGTAGGGTATCAAGTGGTGCAATTACACTGGTTTCTTATGGGTCTCGGGGCCTGGGGCCTACATAAATTTGAGGGCCCCCCCATTCTGATCTCTGGAGCAAACACTATCAATGCATAACTATTCGTCTGGATCTTTAGATCGTTGAGTAAAATATGAAGAGTTGGCAGTGCCAAATATGCAAACAAATATAAATATATAATTATTAATATATATATAACTATAATAATATTGATTGTGTTTGAGCTCAGGAAGCCACCCCATGATTTATATGCTATTATGTTAATATGTTATGTAACTACTATACAAAAATAAATGATGATGTAAAGCAACACATATTCAATACGATCATAGTCATCCGAATAAATAAATAAAAACATATTCAATGTTCTAAATTAAATCACTAATCAATAATAATAATAATAATAATATGTACTGTAAAAACTCGATAAGACGGAACTTCGGTAATACGGAAACGCCGGTATTACGGAACATTTTTTTTGGTCCCGTTTCAAATTACATATAATTAACTGACCCCGTCAAGACGGAAACCCCATTAACATGGAAAAATTTCATGGTCCCAGCGACTCCGTCTTATCGAAGTTTTACTGTATTATGTTTGTTGTAGTATTAACTTTGAAATCATTAATAATTAACAAGTTATTGTATTTAAAAAACTGCCCTCAGCAATATTGACCGGTGAAAATTATTTTTTTGCAAAATTTTTAATTCAAACCCCTATTAAAAAAATGTTGCATAGGCATTTTTAATATTTCTAAATATATTTAAGGTAAACATACATTTGAAAATGCATTTGGAAAAAAAAATTATTTCAATCAAACATATATGGTCTTATGGATGTGGACCAAAATAAATTTGGGTAATTAAAATTGCATTGGTTCATGGAAAACTGTGAGCGCCACTGATTACATCATATAAAATATCGTTTAAGTTATAATTATAAAATCTATAACTAATTGGCATAAGTAATTAAAATATAAAAGCAAAATTCTAAATAAATTACAAAAAATAAAATACTAACTTAACCTCGATAAGACGAAGTCGCTTGGGACTATGTCATTTTTTCGTATTAATGAGATTTCCATCTTGACGGGGTTAGTTAATTATATGTAATTTGAAACGGGACCAAAAAAAAAATGTTCCGTAATACCGGCGTTTCCGTCTTACCGAAGTTTCGTCTTATCGAGGTTTTACTGTAATTAATGGCATATATTTTTGAATGTATAAATTGCATGTATTTTATTAAATAAAATAATTATAAGTTTTTTAACCTTGCTGAATATTATATAATGTCATATTTATAAAATTTATTATTATATTTATAGGTAAGCATAAAATTAAATATTAGTTATTTGCTACCTAGTTATTTTATTATTTATTAGTTATTTTGTCTAATAATTTTCAATTTATAAGTTTTAATGGACTCTTGATTTCACGTTAATTAATATATGACATTTTTGAAGGTGACCAGCTACACAAGAGTATGAGCAATATTTCTAGCATGCTATTTTTTAAAATTATATGATAAAAAGTTAAGTCAAATGTTTAGTTTTATTTTTCAATAAGTTATCAAAACAGAAAATATATTTAAAAAAAAAGTGTACAAATTTAGAGTATCTAAAATTATTATAAGTTCAGAAGTGTAAAATTATATTTTTCGTAAATTAATCTACTATCTAGTTTTTGTTAAACTATTACATTTTATTTGGTATACTTGAGTTTTTGAATGTTATAGGACATTTTGTAAATAATATTCTCTATAATTTAACTTCAGTTTATTGTATGCATTCAATAATTTAGTAATTCAGTAATACGTATTTATTTGTTTATTTTACACCATTCGGTTTTTATAGGACAAACATTGGGCGAAACAGAGGTAATAATATAAGGGTTGGCGAGAATTTTTGAGGGTCTCAGGGCTTATCGGCTTCAGGCCTCCTTTAGTTAAAATTGTTTGGTCAAGAAATACATATTACTCTTACATACTTGTACTTGCTTTAGTAAAATAAGAATATTCAAATTTGGATCTTATGCTACGGCGAATGAGATTATAAAATAATTTTGTACAAAATAAGGTAAAAGTAATAACAGTTATAACAATAATGATAACATAAATATATTCTGCTCTATTAACCGTGGATACAACGAAATATGTTATTCAAGCTAATGGCAATGATAAGTTTTACGAAATATGATGATTGAAAACCAACATCAACAGAAGTATGGGAAAGTTATTAGTAAAAAAGAAGGAATCGGACAGGATTCTGGAAATTCTTAGGAGATTAAGCATTCTACAAAGAGGATTGTGATTATATTTTATACGATTAGAAGGGATGTATCAAAGATGAAATAGTGGTTTCGAGTTAAGTGGAAAGGAACTGATTGAACTATCAGGGACGAATTAATGGAGGGAGCGATGTGAAAATCCCCCCTTGATCTTTTTTTCATCCCAGATTTATTTAATATTTTTGATATAGGTTTAGCTACAGTCCAATGATTTGCATAATACATATTTATAAATATTTACCATCGAGTATTATGTGTATTTTATTCTTATTATAGAAATTTGTTTATAAAATGTAATAATAGTCATAATATTTATATTTTCTTCCCTTCCTTAAAACAAGCATCAGATCTGCCCGTGTTAAACGTACAACAATATCGTAGAACAATACAATTATATTTTGTATTTGCTGCGCAATGAGCGAGGCAGTAAATTACTAAGTACCAGGCCCACGCACTAGATAGGGGGGGGGGGGTTAACCCCCTCATTCGGGATCATTTTACATATATTTGTACTAAGAATTTACCTATTCCTCATTTTATTCTGATATTTTTGATCATGGATATTCCAACATGTATTGTTTTTAATGATTTTTTTACCTAACGTAACATATATAATTTTGAACTCCTCCCTTAGAAGATTACTGCTTACGGGCCTGTTAAGTACGAATGTTATAACTAGGGCTCAGATGTTTAAGAATTAAAAATAACTGTAATGTGTATACACTATGCAATAAAAAAATAACAAACATGCAGGATAAATTTTATTTTACTTTTAGTATTAAAAGTTAAAAATGTATTACCATTTATATGTATAATTTATCTTTATTAGTTGTTATTTATATATTTAACATATTTTTAACATTACGTATGTATTAATTTACATCTTGACCGTTACACTGAGACACACAAGTTTTTTTTAATTTGATCAAATTTGAATCTAAAGATATTTGGATCGAAAACAATTATATGGGTCAATAATTTATCGTTTATCTGCCCCGCTAATTAGAATTGTTTTTAAAAAAAAAGTTTGTAAATGTACTGAAATATAAAGTTATACTCTTAAAACCCCAAAAATATATGTTTAAAATTTCAAACCATAAGATATGGAAAAAAACGCTAAATGAAAATGGTATTATTCGATCTACTCGTAGCAGAACGCGAGTCAAATTTGATTCTAGGTTCGAATGAAATCGGACCAACAGAAAAAAAAAATGCTATTTTATGAACATCCTACATGTTTGCGGCAATGAATTCGACGATACTAGTTACAACGATAGCAATTTAAAAACATTGAATCGAAATTTTTTTCTGAAACTCCTTTTTTATTGGTTTCGTGTCGTTCTAGCACTTGTAACGGACACACGGCCGACACGGCGACTGCTGCAGCTGTACCCGCGGCCGACGCCCATACCGTCGCCGCGACAACCGATGCCGCCGCCGCTGCCACCGAGACGGTGGTCGACGCGAACATGGACATACAGGCCGACGAGGACCTTGGCGAAGCCGACGACGATCGGTATTCGTCATATTCCCTGTCGTCCGCGGAAGACGACAACGGTGACGCGAACGACCCGACCGCGGACGGCGGACGTTGCGCGGCAGCGGACGCGGCCGCATCACCGCCACCGGACGTCATCATGCACCACAAGCAGAACGGCAACGCGGTCAAACGGAAAGGTTCGCGGCGCGGTCGCCGCGGCAGGCGGTCGTCCAACACGCAGATCGGTGTGCAGGTCGCGGCCGACGATGACGCGCGGGCACTTGCCGGTGCGGTTGTCGAGGAACCGGCTCCGGTAACGATGAAAACACCGACCGTCAGCGACAAAACCGCCTCGACGGTGTCCTCCTCGAACGCCGACGACGACGACGACGACGACGGAATGGATACCTCAGCCGACTCTGCGGACACTAATAATACCGGTTATACCAATGCAACGGCCGGCATCTCTTATTCGCAGGACGACGGCGACCGATCGATGGATACGGCACTGCAATCGTCACAGGTAAGGTGATCCAAAGTGCGGATCGGTAACGTGACCGCGTTGTGTTCTCTGATTTCCGTAATGATTTTTTCGCATCTTCCGTGTGTGTAGCAGCAACAGCACCAACCGTCGCCGGAGTCGTCCGTGGTCGAACAAGCAGACGAAACGCAAGCCGGTATCGAGCCTACTGCGGAAAACATTACCAACGCCACGGTATCGGCTCTGCAGGATGTGGAGAGCCGATTGCTCGAAGACTTCGAATGGAAACTCAGCGAGGTCCACCGCCAATGGAAACGCCGGTTGGCCGATCATGAGAGCATGCTGGCCGAAGAGATGGCACAGCGCCAACGTGAGCTGAACGACGACATGGAACGCCGAGCGGTGGAGATGGCGGAAGAGGTGATGAAACGCGAACAGAAGATGGCCGAGAAGATGGTCGAACACGAACGGCATCTAAAGAGTGTGCTGGTCAAGCGGGAGCGGGACCTGGAAGAGCGTAAGGCTGCGGAGGTGGCCGAAAGCAAGCGAAAAGTCGAGGCGAGTTTGGCAGAAAGAGAAACCGCGATAATGGCCGAAGCCGACGCAAAAGTTGCCAAAAGGGAGAAGGAACTCAAGCAGGAGGCGGAGGCGGCGATAGCGATGGCGAAACGCGAACGGCGGCTGGCCGCGGTGGAAGCGGCCAAGCGGGAACGGGAAGCCGTGGCCGTGGCCGTGGCGGAGTCCGCGAAGCGTGAACAACAGCTGTTGGCGGACGCGGCCAGGCGGGAACGTGATATACAGACTGAGGCGGAGCGACGGCACCGGGAACAGTTGGAAACGGAGATGGCAAGGGCGGCCAAACGCGAGCGTGAGATTCGCGCGGAGGCAGCGGCTCGGGAACGGCAATTGATCGCTGAAGCTGAAGAACGTGAGCAACGGGCGGTGGAGGCAGCCGAAAGGCAGGTGCGTCGTCAGTGGCGGCAGTGGGAGCGGGACACGGTGGCGGCTAACCGGAAAGCAGCGGAGGAGCAACAGGAACGGGCGGAACGTGACCTAGCCGCGGCCCGCACGTCGTGGGAACGTGACCGGACCGAGCGGATTGTCGCTCTCGAAACGAGAGTAAGTAGTCAATTTTAGTTACAATATGAAAATGTTTATAAGAATTATGACTATTCGGTGGAAATTGTTCTCAGTATGTATTGAATGATTACATTTACAAAAGTATATTTAATTTCGTTTAGTTTCAATATAACTACGTGGTATCGTTTATTTTATATATTTATATATTTTTACTATTTTTGATCATATACCTACACACAGTGGCAGTGCCATATACGGTTTAGGTGTAGGCCGTGGTCCTAGTTGAAAATTACTGGCTTCGACTGTGGCTCTACCAATGGCCTGACTTTAGGCATAATAATAGAGCAATTTTTCAAAAACAAAATTACTTTTTATAGTAGTTTTGCTTTATTGTTGTAATCATTTAAAGTTTGAAAATAATAATTTAATAATTTTTTGTCATTATTTCATATTTATTATTATTATTATTTTTTTTTGCTGAAATTTCATTTTTTGTGGTCCCAACTTATAATTGTCAACCCCCTATTGGCCCTGCCTAAAATAGATCCTGATGCCATTACTGCATATATACGAGAATTCTGCATTGTAGCATGCAATGTCGTGTGATGTTATTTGTCAAACGTATAATGTAGTTCCTTATTGCACGATTCATTTGAAAATCACATAGATTTTTAAAATGACTGTGTTTTATAAATAATATTGTACGTTCAACAAACAATACCACGAAATTGCCTATGCCATTAAAATACCTTGCTTCACCTTATAAATATATTATTTTTTGGTTAATCGTCAACCGTAATGCACGTATTACCGTATAGTGCGTACTGATCGTACAGTATCGTATTGTACGTCTAATATTTACTAGTCCTTTTGTCAACTGTTTAGTGGACGGAGCGCATGCAAGATGCGATACAAGCGGAACGGGCTCAGGCCGCGGCTGTAGCGGAAGAGTTGCGTCGCATAGCTCAAGAAGAACAAAAACGCGCCGTGGCCTTGGCCGTGGCGGATGCGACTGCCGAAGTCTGTCGCAAGACTCGAGCCGAGTCGGACGCCGAGTTGGTCAAGTTACGCCGGGCGGTAGACACGACGGCTTTGTGGTACGAGGACCTGTTGGACGCGGCTCGCGCTGAAAAGGACCGTTGCATGGGTGGGTAGTAGTGGGTAGAGTATGTGTCATAAGTTATGATTTATATAAGTATTGATTTTCGTTATGACTCACAACGATGAAACGTAGTGTTGGATTAAAATGTTTGTGTTCTGAAAAGCGCGGAACACGCGTACCGCCGCTGCTGCTGCGTCATTGTTCACTGTGTAAAGCCGCGTATACATGTGCTAGTCGAACCCACCACGAACCGTTCGTAAAGGGTTCGTGTTATGTTCGTTAATGCTACGTATACACATGTGATCCGAACTTGTACTGGGTTCGCGAGAGGTTCGTCAAAAAAACCGACTCTCGATGGATCGGCGCAAACGGTTTGCGAACGATTCGCGGTAGGTTCGGCTCGGACACGTGTACGCGCGGCTTAACGTTTGCGGTTGTATTGTGTGCAGAAAGAACCGAAGAGGCGGAACGGAAACTCGTCGAAACGGAACGCGGCAAGGCGAAAGCGGAGAAGGAGCTCGCGGACGTGAGGAGCCAACTAACGGAAACGGAACGTGGTCTGGCTTCCGCGAAAAGCGATCTCGCGAACTTGGAGAGCATTTTGTTGCACTCGGCGAACCGGCTGAAGGAAATGGAGAGCAAGTTGTCTGTGGCGGACAGGAGAGTGTTCGAAATGGAGCAAAAGTTGCAGGCTAGCAACGCGAGCATGAGCGTGGGCGACGAAAGCTCGGCTTACGGTAACCGTGACGATAAGGAGGAGGACGAAGAGAGTTCCATAGGTTGCGGCGTAATCGCCGACGATGAGTACGCGGACAGCGAGGTTGAACAGAATCGATGTTGCGCCAGGGCCGTCAAGTAAGTGGCCATCGACGAGATGTCGAAACTTCACTGCAATAATGACTTGATCGCGCGAACACGCTTCGTCCATGATAACGATGTTCGCACACTTCACGATCGTAGGGCTGATATCGAAGAACGCTTTCTTATACCGGCGCGCGTGTGCACCAAACGGTATACGCCCTGTTGTATTTGTATAAGTATTTTATTTTCCATTTGAAACGTTATGGATTAATTAGGACAATCGTCGGACCAACGTCGGATGGAAAACCGTATTAGTTTTGCAAACCGTAATCGAAAACACATCGTTGAAATAAAGTATAATTTATATTACAAATATATGACAAATATTATAAAACGATAATATGGAGAGACGAAATAGCCTCATAAAATATACGAACTTAAGACGAAGCGTAACATTATAAATGTTTCATTTTCGAGTTTGACAATACCGTAATGATATTTAACAGAACAATTATAAAAATTGTGATAGTTACAGATTAAACTAGTAAACAGTCTGAACAACGTAGCATTAAATATCTCGCAAAAATAGTACCATAAATCATAATAATGTGTTGTGTAACAATATTGTATTCGTTCGGAACGCTTTTCAAAAAAAAAAAAAAAATGCAACTAAGTCAATTGACATTTATGAATATTTCGATAGCATAATTTTTACTTTTTCATTATAATGTATCGGGTTTTGATATATTTTAGCCTGAACAATTCCATTATAGTTACACATTCAATTCAAAAATTAATTATTATAAAATTAAACCGTTAGAATTCGATATTTTTCTAATACTTTTTTAAAAAAAACAAATATATGTATTACTCATAATACATTTCATTTTAGTGATCGATATCGTTAATCAAAAGGAAAATTAAAATTGTTTTCTCGTACCTGAAATAAATTTATTTGTAATCGTGTAAACGTGACCTTACTCAGCAAATATATAATAATATATAAAACAATATAATTTTGATTGATAATAACTACATCTTACATTTTTATGTATTACTTAAAATTAAACGAAATAAAAAAATTAAGTTTTATTTGAAAACTGTTAATTTATTTCCACGCCCATAAATGATTCAGTTTACTTGACGCTGTATAAAAATCATACTCGTTATCTTTCTTTCGATGATCGTCACGTTCGGTATTTCCAAAATTTATTTTACAATATTCATCAATCTTTCCGTGCATATCAATACGTATTTAATTTATATTGTATTTCATGACAGGAGGCGAGAGGCCCAACTGATCGTGGCCCATGGTCTGAAAATAGAGGAACAGCGTAAGCGACACGAGCGTCAGATGCGCAGGCAATTGGAGATGTTGATGGATCAAAGACAGCAGCAGCTTGAGCAGCTACAGAATCGGCAGGACAATCGGTTGCAGCGGAAGAATGAGCAGCAAAAGCAATACCAGGAGCAGCAGGCGCAGCAGGCACAGCAGGAGCAGCAGGAGCAGCAGGAGCAGCAGGAGCAACAGGAGCAACAGGAGCAGCAGGACGAACAGTGGCAACTCCAGCAGCGACGACGAAAGAGTCGCGGGGGTGGCGCAGAAAGAGGAGAGGCAAGAGTTAGTAGGCCACCACCGCAGTTATCATCACCACCTTCCTATATGAGCAACGGAAGTAGTAGCAGCAGCAAGAGTAGCCGGCGTCGGAACAAGCACCGCCAACAGCAGCAACAAGCCCAGAACCAGCAAAGACCACCTCCGCCGACCACACTTACATATAATAATTTTATTAAATAATACTTAAATAATACTCATCACAAGAGCAGTATGATGAACTACATGATTTTGCGCTCATCCGTACGCTATGGATTTTAATAAATTTCTATATTTTTACAACCTACTACTGTGTACCCAAATTATTTTTTTTTTATTTATTTATAAATTTATATTTATTTCGTTTTATTCTCTTTTAAGTCACGCGTTTATTACACGCATACTTATTTGTACAATTATTATTATTATTTGTATTATTACTGTGTTATTTGTATTGTTTTATTGCCAAATGACATTGTGTATCAACTATTTTACGGAGACTACGAGATTTCCAACCTTATGACCTTCTTTCCATCACCATTATTTTTTCAATAAACTTCTACTTGCACATCAAAAAATTATATGCACCTTTGTTTTCATAATTTTTTTTTTTTTTTTTTGATTCATGTGATTCATGTTATGTGCGTATACAAAATATTTGAAAGAATAAAAATCAAATATATTCATTCAATACAGTAACGAATTAAAAGAAAAAAAATATTTTGAGATATAACATGTTATACATATACATTTATAAGCCGTAAATCTATATTTTGTATATTCAAGTGTAATTATTTGACAAAAACATAAAAATTGTGATCGAAAAATTAAGTATTTTTGGTATATAAGAAGCTATTAATACTTATATAAGTGACTTTCAATTAAAAAATAATATCCTACATGTAAATAAATAAATTATTTAACATTAAATTCTACTTCAATAGAATATTTCACTATTCTTAATGATAGAATATTCAAAATGCTAATTTTATCATCGTTAAATAATTTGAAGATAAAATCAATATTTATGTAGTATAAAATGTAAATATTATATTAAAAAAAAAAAAACTGTCAATAGCCATATAAATATTAAAATTTAAGTAATATTTTATACTTTTTCATTCGTTTGTAACTTTTTAGTTGTTATTCTAAAATGAGCACAGAACGATTTAACTGGTATTTGTAATGACCAGCAGGATCGAAGTATATGCAGGTTATTTTTGTGACTCGTAACAGAGAACCTTTTCCTTTTGTATTTATGACGCTAATCATCAATAATAATTGTATACAAAAAGATGTCTTACCGTTAATGATCGTTTATGGTTAACAAACTTTTACTTTTACGATACCCCTATAAAAATAATTTTAAATTAATTAAACGCTAATTCGTGGCATATATGGAAATCAATAAACTGTATTATACTATTATACGTCTAAAATGGTTATTTTTTAAGCCGAATAAATATGGGCGTGTTGTACGTTCCTACTTCTACCTATTTTATGTACTTTATTATCTGTGTGCAACCAAGACGCGTTTATATTATTCTACAGTGGCTATTTAATTGACAATAGGTTTCGCATCGTTATTCAATAGCAAACACATATTATGTTGGACAACCAGTTGAATTTTTAATAAGTGCTATTATTCATATGTTGTAAATGTGAATGCATCGGTGTATTCGTAATTTCCGCTTTCCAATATCGTCTTGTGATACGGTTTTAATGGAAAAAAATAATATATACCTAGATCCTGCCCTCGGTGACACAATAATAATGTTCGCTTGACGAACGAAATCGTATTGCACAAAACCTACAAAAACGTAACACTCACTAGTGTTATACGATTTAAGCAGTGTACGCGAACCGGTGTGCGCGCGACGGAATAAAATATACGATGATTTAATAACCAGTGGTGAGAGACCGGCTACTTTAAATTGCATGTGTTGGATACGATGACCTACATATGTGGTCGTCGTAATAGTATCCGCGAAGTCGTCTCGGTCGCGGTTGCGTCGTCGTTGTCATCATAATGCGTCCACGATAAATTACCAAACAAAATTTACTTTCGATATTTCATTCAACTTTGTTACGATAAAATAATAAATGAAGTATGCGTTTTCGTTCCCTAGTTTGCGTATAATCATTGAAAAACAGGATACGTCCGCACGAAGATTTTTGTAGGAAGATGGTAAACCTGATGTAGAATATAAGTTTATTTGAGGGGGGGCGATCGGGGCGATCACCCCCACTGCTCAAGTTATTTGTGTATATTATAAATTATAAAGCATATATATATATAATAATAAATATTGTACTTAACTAGTGTATGATGCTCGTAAATTTAGTACCTCCTCCTCCCCATTCAATTAATTCAAATACGCCATTGGTAGAATATAAGTTTATTTGAACACGTGTGATGATATGAGTAACGATTATGACAAATATAAAAGTTATTAACATTTCTTGGAAAATGAGCCTAGAGGTCATGCTTTATAATATTTGGATTTTGCACCTAACAAATGCTGACGTTATGTTTTAAATTCCAATCGAACATACGAGTCGTTTTTACCATTGATTTGTAAATGTTAAACAAGTTCGCAGTTGTGTGAATTAAAATTATATTATTTTTCCAATGTAAGATCTATTCAAGTAATTACCTTAAATATTATTATAATGATTATTCATGTACAGAATTTCCTAATGTAGTTGCAGAAAAATAAAATAACAAAAATAGCCAATCATTATACAATACGTTTTCGATAAATTTGAGACTACTGAACAAAAGTGAATAAAGTGAACGGTTTTGTGTCTACGAAATTTCGGCGCGGTCGTTTTGGTGTAAAGCAATTCGATGTGGAATCAGTGTAGCGTAAAGCATATTTCTGCATGTGGACACACTATTCAATATTTCTATTAATACAATTGAAAATGTAATATCAATGTAATTATTCATTACGTTGGTGTGACACGAGGATTCTTAAATCACTTGAAGATTCTTAGGTTATTTCATGAATATTATTAGGTTTTAAAACTAATGAACATTCAATCGGAGACAGTTATGAAAAAAATTAACACGGAGACATTGGAGTTTGCATAAAATATCGTCAAGGATTACGAGTGAATTATCAAAAGCGTAAAAGGTGTGTATTATCATTTTTTTCTTTTCTAAACCAACCATTTTTACTAAGAATTCGTTTTTCAATTACTTAGAGAGCTTTTCCGCTAAATAGAAAACAAACATGATATGTGAGGATTATGTGGTACTAAATGTTCCAAAGATTTGATTACGTTAGTAATAACAGAAAATTACTAACAATGTTCATCGTTTAAAAATATAATTTTCTAAAACGAATAAAAATGTTCTTACGGCCCCTACCGAAAACAAAAAATGTACAATAACAATTTATGACGTTGATAATAGTGTACAAACTTGAAGGAATATGTTTTATCTTAAAATGATCTGATAAAAATTACATTGGCATCATTATTAGAAATCGACGTCAAGCACCACGTTATTTCTCTATACTATGTAGAATGCATTGAACGCGTGCCCAACAAAGAAGATCTAACAAATGATAATGCAGAAGCAGTTAATCGTCGTGTTGATCTTTAAATGGCAATTGGCAGTGTATATTTATACACATTTATACACTGAAAGTAACTTTATGAATATTTATAACTTGTCTGAATAAAAAATGGCGGAGTTAACTTAAATTGTTAATTAGAAATCGGCAAAGTAAAAAAAGAAATATTGATTGACGTAGATAAATGTATTTTAAAATTGGTCAGTGTTATGACAATCGTAATATTACAGTAGCGACGGGATATCCGAACGAGATTAGGAAAAGGGTCTTCGGATTTCCTATGACTTAAAATGAATTTACTTACAATTTAAATTTTAGAATTAATTGTTATCCATAAATTATTGAAATTACAACGAATACATTTAAAATTATTATTATTATTTATGTACATAAAATAACACACCTACATAATTATTTAAAATATTGAGTTATTTTTTTTGAACTTACATATTTATATATCATGATCCAATAATTCTCTAGCCTATTCAGATTACCACTTATTTCGGTTTAATGCAAATCTGCTATATGTAGGGTTTTATTTTAAGAACTAAATCATATAGTTAAAACATAATACATTGAATAAATTGTATTCTTACTAATTTTTGTACACTAAATTGTATTCAATTTTTATGTTGTAGTTTCAATGAATATATTTTGTGAAACAGGTAGCTGTAACTATATTTCATAATATATTTTTAAATTTATAATCTTACGTTTACACAATTTCTTAAAATATTGAATGAATTGTTGTATACTTCTGAACTGGTTCCACGTCAAATAGCCTTATGACCGCAAACAACTAGACAAATATGACCACGTCGAAATATTCGGATCTGGTAATAAAATTATTGTGTTATTACTTAATAGTTACCTATTAGTTATGCACCTGCTTGGTCCTCAGTTCAAAGAAAAAAAAAGTTACCTATTAGTTAATGTGAATTAATATGGGTCAATATTTTTACTAAATATTGGACAACAATATTTGAACACATAAATATTTATATATACATGTATAGATATTATACATTTGTATAAAACTATAATTTTATTTTTATTTTTAATTCTAAAACGAATCACGTTCATTGCAAATCCTTTCTATTGATGTTGAATTCCGATCACACATACATATTAATATGGTATAGGATTCGTATAAAATATTTTAGATATTTGAAAAAACTCAATCTCAAGTTTGATTTTGATAGTTATATTTGATAAGCGCAACAAACTCGGGAAAAATATTATCTGTTTATATCCTCGTCAGATCTGGAGCGTATAATAAATGCGTAGGTAATAGGTACTCAACAAGATCTAGGAATAATATGTGTCTTATTAACTACACCAGATACTTGTGCATGTTTTATTTAACAGTATAGTAACCTAGTGAGATCTGTTAAACCTTGTTACTTTCACTATCACTTATACATGTATGTGTACTCTAATGCATACGATAAAAACAATACAAGTTTTTAATGATGTTTCGACAAAACCGAACTTCACAGAATCGACCTTTTCTTATCCAATATTTCAATACATATAAGGTACCGCTCGTTGTACCCTAACTTTAATTTTATTAAAAATATTGACTTATTACAAAGCTGAGTTCATACATTTTTACTAAAACAGTCTCAATGTCGCGTTGTGTAATATCTATCTTAACGAAAATAAAATGTTATCATTGACAAATATAAATATTGAGAAAATTTTTAGTACACACATACGACACACGTTATACATTTATTTACATTTATGTAGTTAAAAGTTTGTGTGCACAAGTGTATATAGTTCAGCAGATAAATTGAAGATAAATTATTAATAGTTGGTAGTTATTTGTAATAGACATTTTTGCCTTTGAAATTTATCTTCCAAGACGCAATCACGCCGGTTTACTTCTAAGTTATCGGGTCAGCTTTAATATTATTCAAAATTGAATGACTTTAATTTATTTTTTTTTACATTCACCTAATTTGTGATTTAATTCGGGAGAGTTTTTATAAAAA